ATTTATGTATATGTATTTGTATATGTATATGTATATGCATATGTATTTCCCTTATTCCATGCGATGCAAATACCTGGCCGCCATCATACGCAATATCCACTCGGCGTATCTCCGTCTCGCCGGTGAGAACATCCAGCTCCACCTCACACACGCCCGCACAGTATACGTAGTAGTTGAACATCTGTGGTGCAGGTAACGCAGGCTTCTGCATGAACTCAGTCACAGACATATTCACACCCGCCGCATTGGCTGCGGCTACGGCGTCGGTCCAAGGCACAGTGTTATCCTGGATGAGAGGGCATGGGGAAGAGATGGACAAAGACTAGGATAAGTACTTGGATAAGTACTTGATATAAATGTATGGGAAGAAAAGGAGGTAGATTGGGATAAGTACTTGATATGAATGGGTGAATAGACTTTTAGATACACAAGTATGTACATGGAATGAAGACCTTCGGAATGTGCACCATTTCTAATATAATGTTATCCTGGCCGACAGAGATGAGATTATCAAGGACACGGATGTGTGACGATACTTTAACCATTCCTGTGACTATAAATAGATTATGGCAGATACCTATACCATATAGATCTTTAGTCTTTAAAAACAGATTCTGTTCGATGGCTTTACCATTCCTGTTTCTATAAATTGATTCTGTCAGATACCTATACCATATATGTTTTTAGAAAAAGATCCTGTTCGATGACGTTACCTTCTTTTCTATATATAAATTCTGTCTGACACCTTCACTATCCACGTGTCTATATATAGCTTCTGACTGATACCTTCACCATCCACGTGTCTATATATTGCTTCTGACTGATACATTCACCATCCACATGTCTATATATATAGATTCTGACTGATACCTTCACCATGCACATGTCTATATATAGATTCTGACTGATACCTTCACCATCCACGTGTCTATATATATATATTCTGACTGATACCTTCACCATCCACGTGTCTATATATAGCTTCTGACTAATACCTTCATCATGCATATGTCTATATATAGCTTCTGATTGATACCTGTACCTTGAGATAGGGTGCCAGATTGTCCAAGAGTGTGTCACAGGCGTTGAGCGCAGAGGCTACACAACACTCCGACGATGCCGACCCCCCGGTCATGGCACTATTGGGCACTCGGCTGGTCTCTGAGTCTGTGACGATAACATCCGATACCTTCAACGGCAGCTTAGAGGCAACCGCCTGCGCCACTTTTGTATACAGACCCTGCGGAGGGAGCGATGTGGTTTATTCAGTGACAAGTTGAGAACTGGGTTTGCAAGGTTTGTGTGGTGTAGGGTTTTAGGGCTGTAGGGTTTTGGGGGTTGGATATATGAGGTCTGGGTAAGTGTGTACGGAAAGGAAGCTATGATCAAGTAAAGAGGCGATATATACTTAAGGCTGGTAAGGGTGCGACTGAATTTCTGTGCTCCCGTACTTTGAGCGATATTTACTCGTGGACTAAGAGATTGTGCATGCATGTATGTATATTATTGAAGATTTTGACTCGCAATTGTGCCATGGGATGTCCGTGCGGGACGATAGATATATATATATATAGGTAAACATACATACATACATACATACATACATACATACATATATATATATATATATATATATATATATATATGTGTGTGTGTGTTTGTGTGTATGTGTGTGTGTGTATGTATGAATAAACATATACATATACATATACATATACATATACACATACTATACATATACATATACATATCATATACATTTACATATATATGGTCATATACATATACATTGACATATATATATATAGACATATACATATACATATACATATATATATACATATATACATATACATATACATATACATATACATATTCATATACATATAAATATATATAGACATATACATATACACATACACATACATATATACAACTACACACACCTGCCCCATCTCTGTCCCACCCGTTGACACCTGCACAGTACCATCCTCACACATAACATCCAGCTTAGTCGCCGTGCCTACACCGGCATCCGTCATGCCGTACTTGGCTGGTACTATGGCCAGCCCCCTCTTACGCCAGCGGTTGTGTTTGTTAAAGGTCTCAACCTCTGCCTTGCGCTGAGTGTAGTTGGAGTCCTCCAGCACCCGAGCCCATACCTACGGGTGTGTGGAGTGAATATAGGGAGTACGGGTGTGTGGAGTGAATATAAGGAGTATGGGTGTGTGGAGTGAATATAGGGAGTACGGGTGTGTGGAGTGAATATAGGGAGTACGGGTGTATGGAGTGAATATACCG